AAATTACTTAATAAAGATACAAGCAAGACTTTACTTTAAAAAAAACAAAAAAAAATATTTTAGATTTTTTAATAAATAAATATATTTGTACTTTTTTTTAAACATATTTAATTATAAAATCAGTACTAAATTATTATATAATAATACAAAAAATTAATATTTTTATTACAAGATTATACTAAATATAATAAAAAATAACATACAATCAAAACTCTATAATTACATTCTTGATTTTAAGAATTTGGTACTTATAAAAAGTTTGTACTTATATAAAACTTAAATTTTATAAATGTTATATAAATTGATTTTAAAAATTTATATAATTATAAACATATATAACTATAGTAAGAAGCTTATAAAAAGATTTGATTGTAATTCTCTCAACTCATTTAAATTACAAAAACAAAATGCATAACTGATGCAATATAGTTATTATTCTTATTATTAAATACCACTTATACAATATTGTTATTAACCAACCTATTTGCAATAAAATTTTTACTAATATATTAGTCTTGTTAAGCTCAAAACCAAACTTTGTTATATAATACTATTTAGTATTCTATTATATTCTTAAATTTATAATATTAAATATATTTGAGATATTCAACTACAATACCATATCCTTAATCTTTTTAAACAACTTAATAATTCTAACCTATTAGGAACATCTACTCATATATGAATTCAACAACTTCAAAACAATCTTTAGTTATCTATTAATATTTTCCTTTATCTTAAGCCAATTATTAATAAGTCCAATCACTTAACCACAAACTTCAAAATAATACAACTTATTAAATATATAGGCTAGACTTTTTCAACTAACCTAATCTATAACATTTTATATATTCTAAATAATAGAATTATCTCTTTTGAATCTTTTTTTTCTTCTTATTCAAAATATTTTATTTTTAAAAAACAACTCAGATATTATAAACTTTTTTTTCTAGACCAACTTACTACTTATGACAATTTATATCTACTATACTGGCAACATAATTCATCTAGACTTAACAAAATCTCAAAAGGTGTTATATCACAATAGTTTACTAGTCTTAAGAACATTGCTATAAGTTATTCTTACTAATATATTCTATATAACTACTATAACTTGCCTTCTGTAAACTACTTCTACTACTCTTATAACCACTTTATTTCTAATACTAAACTTTGGCTATTCACTGCTCTTGATAACAAAATAATTATTAACAAGGCCAGAAGGTATAATATATCTACTAATCTTACACTCATTAATCACTAGCACTGCTCATTTTAGTCTCAGTTCTCTAATCTTTATCTTATTTTTCTTTTTACTACTACTTTATATACTAGATGCTATTTTAATTTAAATATAATTGCTAACAAATATAGTATTTTTATTTCTACTAACTTGGTTACTAAGCTATTTTATTACATTAATTCTGACAAAACTCTTAATCTTCATGTAAACTTTCTTAATATTGTATATTCTATTGCTTTTTAATATTTCTTACATTAAAGATAGTAATCAGTTTAGTCGACTACTATATTTAGTTAACTAATTAGTCAACTAAACATAATAGTTTATTATATAAAATTTTTAGTTAACTAAACTGATTCCAATTCCTACCTTACATATTTTATCTCTTCCTTTGCTTATAATTAATTTATAATAACTACTATCTATTTTTAAAACATGTTAATTTTTTAATAACCTTCAGACTATTGCTAACTTAAATTATAGTCTATTATCTATTTTATTTTATATTAATAGTTCTGTTATTGATTTTGGTATCTCACAATGCTCTATAGGCATAGGTCAGGTTCAAGTTGATAACTTTACAACTATTAACTCATTTTAAACACAAGTTAAACTATGATTATGCTTCTTTAAAGTAAAATTCTTACTATTCTCTTAGCAATTATTACTGTTCTTAGACATTGCTCTGTTCATATATTTACTAACTTATAATCAATAATCTTTAAATATTATACTATTTGCCAATTAGCATTTATTCTTTCTTATATTCATATTTTATATTTCTTTATCTAACAAACCCTTATTAATTTTATTAAGTCTTATGAAATTTAATTAATTTTTTACAAAATTATTACACATCAAAATGATCTATTTAATAACCTTATTAACTAACTTGTTCACAATCATCAAATATTATCTTACTTAATATTTTTAACTAATAATTCTTATGATTTTAATTATACTTATTTATTAATAAATTTCATATTGAAATTCTAATGCTTTATTCAAACTATATACAAATTTATATTATAACATTTTAGACATCTCAACATCATTTTTAATAATGATTAACTATTGTATCTGATATTAACTAAGAAGTTATATAGCTTTTATTAATAACAATCAAAAAATTTCTAATTTTGCTCATAACTTTTATTTATCTATTTTAAAAATTTTTCAAATTAAAATTCTTACAGATGAACTTTCTGTTTCTCATATTTTTCATAAATATAATTCTTTTTTTTTTTTTTCTGTCATCAATGCAACCATATCAGCTCTTTACTTTATTGAACTATCTGTCTCTTAACCTAAATAATTTATCACTTGATCTCTAATTCTATTAATAGTATTTTAAATATAACTATTCTTAATATGCTAGCCAATCTTGTTTCTAATTTATATACTGAAATTCTTACACTTAATAGTTTCAAATTGCACATCTTTTTATATATATCTTTTCTTATTTCTATTCTATCTAGTTTAATTTCTATTAATCTTATTTCTACTATTTACAATACTTCTATTTCTTATTATACTACTATTACTCTTTTTATCAAACTTCATTTTCACTTAAACCAATAAATATACAAACAAATATGGATCTTATACTGTATTTTATATTCTGTATAGTCTCAAACTACACTTTTTATTAATTTAACTTATAATTATTCTTCTAGTTTACCTTTATCTTCTATTTCAATATCACAAATTATTATTAAAATTGATCTTTAGACTATTTAATGAATTAAATATCATACTTCTCTCTCTTATATTATTACTCAAACCCAAATCTAGGTAAGCTTTGACCACTTTTATAGATTTAAGTTGCAGATTATATGTCTGAGTCTTTATTTTTTATATGTAATTTAAAATCAAGCTTTTCTTTATAAAAATTTTAATTAAATTTCAATAAAGTTAAAGGTATGACTTTACTGTTAATATTAAAAAAAAAAAGGTTTGACTGTATTACATTATAAAATTTTAGTTAATTACATATAAAATTTGATTATAGTTATTACAAAAAATCATAATAACTACAAACTAATAATTTATGCTAATCAGTACTAATATTATAAAAGGCTGTATACATCAAATTGGTAACAAGAAGAACAAAAAACTACTAAAATTAACCAATTTAAAAAAAAAATTATTGCAAAAAGTAAATAAAGAAATCATGATTAGATAGAATTAAGAAATATAGTATAAATAAAATATAAAAATTGTAAAGTTAATAAAACTCTAAAATATAAATTACTTAATTTATAAAGCTTTGATTATTACTATTATATATAATATATAAATATAAAAAAAAGAAGAATGTGATGACCTAATGAAATGAATAGGTTATCAACTCCCAAATAACAGGTCTAGAATTCAAATCTAGTGACAGTGAAAATTTATAATTCTTTCTGTATTATAACTAACTGTCTTTCATGATTGATTGGAATAAAATACCTGTAACCTGTGTCATATCAGCATGACTGAAAGGTCTAAACATTTGTACAATATTGTATAAGGAAACACAAACTGGTACTGAGTAGTATAAACTCAAGATAAGTCTTTAAGCCATGTAAATCACAAAAATCAGATAAGAAGACAGAAGCCTATTTGGAAGACCTAAATAGAGAAGTAACCTGAATCTTCAACAGTGCTACTATAAAGACTAGACTTATGAAACAGAGCTAGAACTTGTGAAACTAAACAAATATGCCAGTCTTTAAAAAAGAACTAGATGAACCAACCAGGCCATCAAAATTTCTAGATTTTAGAAAAAAAAAATATATGTTTGCAAATATATAAACCAAAAATACAATATCACTTTATTTTTTCAGACTATCTAGAATGACAACTTGATAAAACTTAAATTAAATACCAAAGTAATAAGGATATGTTGTAAAATTAATATCAGAATTGGTGTAAACTCTATAAAGACATAGCAGTTTAATGATATATTCTGACTGTCAGTGTTGATCTTGACCATAACAATATAAAGTCAACTGTAAAAATAGGATACAGAAGATTCTGGAAGATTTAATACAAGATCAAAGGTTCTTCATGTGAGTGAACTGCTTTAAAGACTTAATAATCATACCATATTTTCATCAACATTAACTGGGATTGTTGGTAGGCAGAGGTAGGTAGGTGGATATGAAAACAGAATGGTTAAATAGGAAACCTACAAGTGGGTTCCAGGTATGGCAGCTAATGTAGAACCTTTGGGCGGACTACTTAAATTAGACAATGACTAAAGTTGTACAAGTGGCTAGTTGTACACTCTCTTCATGATTGTCTCCTGTGGTTGTAATGCAACCATTAGCCAAATATACTATCAACAAAATCCTGGGTCGCGAGTACTCACCTTAATATTTAAAAATATATATATATATATATATATATATAAAAGGCGTGGAAATGACAGGTCCCTTATAATATCAAAGCATATTTTGTAACAGTTAAGTATATATATATTTAAGTATAAAACTGTAAATACTGCAAACAAAAGAATCAAAAGACATGTTCTAGATGCAAATTTATCAGTTTCAAACAATTAGGGTAAGGTTGAAAGTTGGAATCAAAGGTTTTTGGAGAGCCAAACATTTTATTTCGAGCATCTACTTAGTTTAAACAACGATTTTTGTATGCGTACGCATACTTAAAATTCTAGATTTGCTGCGCAAGATTGGCAAATTTTACCCCACAATTAGGGGGCACGCCTCAAATATTTTCACGTGCCCCTATCCCAATGCGCGCTCGCATCATGAAAACAATCGAAATTGTTTGTCATATAGAAGAATCAAAACCGGCGTCGCCACGTTATATACCTTGCGTTACAGCAGAGGGCCGCTTTGAAAATGCGGGAATGGAATGGGCTTCAATACAAGAACTTGTATCAAGCTGGAAACAATGTGCCTTATACGGGTCTCTTTATTATGGAGAGTGCACTACCGATATTGTAAAGAACATTGATATTGTCGTCGATTTTTTAAATGTGTTTTATGAGGTATTGAACCTGATACACAGTATTTTTTATGAAAATTTGTTTAACACGTAAAAATAGGCAAATATGGCAACGTTTATCCTGAGTAATTTAAATTTTATTCACCTCGAGTAGCAACTTGCTGTCTGTAAAACCGCTCAAGAATGTGTCACCAAATTTCCCAAAGGTGGGCAACTGTTAACAGATTTGGCGGTATTTTTAATAATTTACTTATTTATTTTTGTATATTTAAAATTATTTTTAAAAGTATTTTTTACATTGATTTATTATTGTTCATTCATATATCGTTGAATCTAAATTAGAAAAATAGAATTCTTATCCTTCATTCAGAAACTTGCCGATTAGTTGTGAAATGTATTTTAGAATACTCTAAATGTGTATCTGGGTTTTCGGATTCATTAACAGATTCGAACTGGTATGTAAAATCTTTAGGATGACTTACAATTCAAATTTTGCTAATATTTAGATATTTAATATTCAGTCAATCAAAGAAGTGGTGTCTGAATAAAATTAATTCTTTGTTCTTTCGCCATAATCCTTCTTATAATCGTGACAATGCCTCGGAATATATAGCTAGATCATGCGGTGCTGGAAATTATGAATTACAAAAGATTATTGTCACAGAGTCTACTACCGCAATCAGGGAATTTTTGGAAACAATAGTAACAAATTCAATAGTAATTCCGGTATGTTTCGTAATGAAAATATGTAATGCAATGGTGTTTTTGTCCCGTTTGATTAATAAAGCATAATTTTAGTCCCAATATTTCATCAAAATCTCTGAGCAATTTCTACCACTTTTGAATGATTCGTCAATGTTGGAAATGGCTGATCTTATAATTCGATCAGCAACATATCGAACACTGCATATAACATCGTACACAGACAATTGTGAAGTGTTATCATGCGAGTTTGTTGAAAAAATAGTGTTGTCAGAATCAATATTTGACAAACTTAGTACTGAAGCGAAGTCCGGGCATGTTTTATTTTCAAACCACACTAGATATAATTAGAATATCTATGCAGAATATTAGACTAATCTTAGTCTCAATATAATTTAATAGTTTATGGGCAGCTTGTCCCTTTGCCATTGAGCACGAGGTAACAAACAAATCTTGATATATATAAGGTAATGATGGTATTTCTTCAAGCTCGATTAAAGTTTATTTTACCTTTATGTCAGGTCATGAAAATTTTTGGACATATACTATTTTCCAGGGAAAAAGAATATATTGCACCACGAGAAATAAAGGAAGTCATACGAAGTGAACTTTTGTTTCAAAGGATGATAGGACATCCAAGAATTTGCCATTTATGCTTTGATATCATGACAAAGTTGGTTATCGAGTCTCCAGATTGGCGAATTCTTCGCCTTATAGGGTATACAATACAACCTATTTTTGAGTGCGATCTTCGAAACGGGTATTCCTCCTATGAAGAAGTAAGTTAATGAGTATTTAAAATGAAATGAGTACCATTTGATTTGTACTAAGGGTATGCACATATTTTATAATTTTTGTTTAGTATCTTCCTCGACCTTTCGCGGATCTTATTTCCAATCTTACAAGTTATATTTCGGGAGCACAAGAATTTTCAACGATCAACTCTTGTGTTAAGCAATTTTTGTTAAGCCAAAGCCCATCAGATGTCGGAATATGTAGGAAACAAGTATGGATACTTTTAATGTCATTTCCAAAGTGGCATTATTGGATTATCGAAGTAATTTTTGATGAATTGCTCTTTCCAGAGATTAGTGAAGTAAGCATTAAACACAGATATCGGTGGTGTTAACCAAGCTCGTATTTATAGATAATTCATGTTTGTAGTTAGAAGAGCCGATACATTATCTGGCATGGTTAGTGTGTCCACGAGATGATAATACTATTATCACTCTTACTAATACTATAGTGGATATTATTATATCCGTAAGAGGTAATAAATTTGTGTTTAATACCCAACCGTATACTTTTAAGTATTGATCTAATTTGAGATATCATCTTTAGAGTGCTTATCAGTCTCACAACATAGAAACGAAAGAATTCTTTCGTGTCTTGAACGATATAAACCTATTTTTGTCAATCAAATGATTTTAGTAGATGTCATGTTAGGATTGTGGCCAGTTACCAACTCCTTAGATTTAATGAAGAAACTTGTAAGATTCTCTAAATTTGAAACTCTTGCATTATTGAGCATCACTAATTTGTGGTTATAATATAGGTAAATTTTTGCATAGAAAACCATAATGAACAACTAAACGTGTTACCTAGGTTGGGATATGATATATTTTATTGATTAATCTAAATTTAAGTATTTTAAATATTGACCTTTAACTGATATGCGCTCGTTAATATTATTTAATAGACAGAATAATAGTGTCAATTTAACGACAATAACACTTATTCTAGATTATTTTTACGAAACGCAAGTTACAGAAAACAATCCTGAAATGAAAGATTTCTTGAATAGCTTGCAAGAATTATATAAAAGTTCGCTATCATCGGTAACCTTTTGTATATAATAATGTCATAATTTTTAATTTTGTGAACGTTTCGAAATATACACTTGAGGCTTAAATCTGCGCAAGTTGTATATTTAGGTATAATGTTCAAAATCCATTGTATCATAGTCACAAGAAATTACCTATAAAGGAAAATTGGTTGACTAATAGCTTTGATTAAAGGCGTATTATCATGTGACAAATGTGACGAATAATTGTTAAAATATCAAATGTCAATTAATTTTTTAGCGTTAGATTATCATTACCTGTAGTGTAACATCCTATTTTGTGCCCCAGATAAATTATCAAACATAAATTTAGGCCAAATGTTTAGGTAAAATTTGGAAAGTTGACATCTGGGTTGTCCCGCTTGTTTATCATTGAGGGCAAAAAAAATAAAAAAACCACCCTTAAATGATACCCCTTATCCTTCTTTATAAAATAATTATAAAATAATTATAAATTATTTAAAAATTGATTAACAATTTCGTATAACGCTGATTTATACTTTGATTTTTTTTTGTCATGTTTGGTAAGTGTATCGAATGGGCAAGAAAAAAAAATTTTAGCATTATATTTAAAGTATTCGATTTGTATTAAATTTGCCTTTTTTTAGAGCACATTGATTCTCAACCTGAGAACAGATTTTCTTCGTTGGTTCATGGTCAACGTATCGTAATTGTGCCAGAATTTACACTTGAATCTGGCTATACATTGCATCGAGTTCCAGTAGCATATAAAACTTGGGGGAAGCTTAATATAAACAGAGATAATGTGATGGTGATATGTCATGCACTTAGTGGAAGCGCTGATGTTCAAGATTGGTAACTAGATTAAAATTTTGAAAATTTAATATTGGTTAAAGTCATTTAAAATATTGCAATTATATATTGTTATGTAAGGTGGGGACCTCTAATTGGAAAAGGAAGAGCTTTTGATCCCACAAAATATTTTATTTTTTGTGCGAATGTTCTTGGATCACCTTACGGTACTGCATCTCCTGTTACGATTAATCCTGATACAGGAAATATATATGGTCCGGAGTTTCCTTTGACAACACCTCGAGATGACGTCAGGTATTCTAATACTGAAAGTTTATATATATATATTTTTTTAAAAAAAATATCAATAATTAAATGATTATCGCCATTTTTTGAATTAAAAGGCTCCATAAAATAATTCTTGATATGTTAGGCGTCAAACAGATTGCCACATGCATAGGTGGTTCTATGGGTGGTATGCAAGTGCTTGAGTGGTCATTTTTTGGAATGGAATATGTAAAGACAATTATTCCTATTGCTACTTCTGCTCGACAATCCGCATGGTGTATAAGTTGGAGTGAGGCTCAGAGACAATCTATTTATAGTGATCACAAATATCGTGGGTATTTTTACTGGCACTATTGATTTATTTTGAGTCATTTAAAATTTTTAACCAACTTACAATTTTAAGATAATGGATTTTATCAATTAAATGAGGTATTACTATGTTCAAATAATTTTAGAAAATTTTTTAATTTACATATTTATTGGGGTCAATTTTTTTGTAGCAACCAGCAACAGGTCTTGCAGCTGCACGCATGTCTGCGCTTCTAACGTATCGTTCTCGGGATTCTTTCGAGTCTCGATTTAGTCGTACATATCAAGATTTAAATAATTATCCAACAGTCAATGGTTTCTTATCCGCTAAACCAAAAACACCAGCGGAATATGCTTTATTTCTACATAATGATGGTCTTCGATGTAATAATATTAATGGTAAGTCTTTCAAGTCAAGGGATCAAAACGGAAACAATAATATAACTTTAAAACAAGCAAGTATCCAAGATAACGATAAGATTGAGCCACCTGATAACAAAGAATATTACCAAAACAACAATGTACATTCAACTGCTGCTGTACCGCAGTTATTTTCAGCTCAGTCATATCTTAGATATCAAGGTGATAAATTTGTTAAAAGGTTTGATGCTAATTGTTATATAAGTCTTACACGAAAGATGGATGCTTATGATATAGCAAAAGATAGAGGTGATTTGAAGGAGGTATTAGGTAGCATCAAACAACCAGCATGTGTAATCGGTAAGTACTGATATCTATCACTTATTTACTACATTATTTTGAATTACATGTCAAATATATTTAAAATCTCTTTCATTTAAGGAATCGAGTCAGATGGTCTTTATGCTATATGTGAACAATATGAGTTGGCAGAATTTATACCAAATTCTGAGATGATAACCATTAAATCACTGGATGGACATGATGGTTTTCTTATTGAGTTTGATCAGATGAATCGGCATATTCTTCGTTTTACTCGAACACATTTATCTGAACTATCTGAGGAAGAGTCAGGTGAAAGTGATGGTATAGAAGGAAACAATATAGAAGAAAAATTGGTGGCTACCAAAAATAGTTTGTTTGGTGAAGCAGAAGTTGAGTTTCTTTAAATAAAGCTTTCAAATAATTTTTAAATACACAACGATTTGTATATTACTTATTCTTTTTAGATACAACATTATTTGTATCTCTATTCATGGTGTTTCTTAAATTTGACGTCAACTACTGATATGCGGATGGATAATTTTCTTTTCATGTGCCGTGATTGAATAGGTATCATACAAGCCAAACTATAACTATCGCATAACTATGATTATTCCGTTTTTCATAGAAGTATGTATTTTCGACTAATTAGAAGCATTCATTTAAAATCTTACATTTAACATATCCTTTTTAAAGTTGAGTAATCATAAAAGAGGTTTTGTATTTGTGAAAGATTCGTATTCGTTTAACGTATGATATTCCAGAAGACTTGATTTCGACAAAAGCTCATATTCCAATAATACAAAAAAGATAATTAAATTAAAACTTTCTGAATAGTTTTTAAAATTGAACCCTTGAATTTATCACTTAATTTTATGAATAGAACTCATTCGTCCAAAATCATTTTAAAGTTAATAATTCTGTTCAAAAATTACAATAAATTTATTCTAGCATTTATCTAATTAGAGAATGTTATTCAGTTAGTCAGAAGGCTATATATAATAACATGTTTGCTCTTTATCAAAGTCAAATCACTGACAGATAGGATTATTCCTAAATACTATCATTAAGGAATTTTCGCGTAATAACGCCATTTGCGCGTTATTTAGAGTATATTTAGAGTATGCGCATGGGCATTATTTTGAGACAATGATAAAATTTCACCTAAACCTGATCTTTAAAATAAGCTACGTTAATCGATAGATCGATTCTTAAATTATAAAATTTTAATGTAACCTACATTGTTCTATTATGTAACTTACAGTAAGTTATATATAACAAAAATTGCCCAGTGCGCGTTACTTTTGGCGTTATTTTGAGACTATGCATACCATTTTCAAGGAACGCTAATATAATTTACGGGTAATCCAATTTACAAATTTTTTATTGTATATAAACGAAACATCAAAACCTGACATTACTTTTTCGATTTTAAAATAACCAAACGCTTATTTATCAACATTCATATAATTTCCGATCAACTTATTCAAATATTCATAAGTAGAAAATTGTATAGCCCCACCGGGAGCAATTCTAATACATCTTAAGGTAGCACCCTTAAAAAAAGACTTTAAACCTTCATTTTTTAACATCAATTTAACGCATTCAAAACTATTTTTATATCCAACATTTTGATCTTGCATCCGAGTTTTCACAACATCAGGTGGTGAATTAAATATACCTACAAGGATATTTGCCAAAAACCCTGATAAAGCATGTTGAAGTGGTGTATTTTGACCATTGTTTAGACTTGCAAAGAAATCTTTAAATGTTGTATAGCCAGTAAACTATTTTTTTTCAACACATGATCAGTAAACTAAGGAATTTGTTATTCATAATAAAGTTATAAAAATTTACCTTGACAGCCAATCCCCAAGACTGTCTAAAAATAGTAGGAAGAAGTCCATTGTATAATGCAAATACACTACAATAAATTATTAATATTATTATAAAACCATTTTGCATAAAAAGTCCTATTATATCTTGAATATATATTTTACCCTTCTTCTTTTACAATATGCACAATGGTTGAAGGCATACTACGATATATTTTCTGATTCAAATCAGTTTGTTGCCTTACTTTTATTAATTCAAGAGGTGTTACTAAAGTTGAAGCTTGTAAAATTCCTGTGCAAATCTAAACGATTAAGAAATTATGAAACTTTTATAAGAATATTTCTAATAATAATAGCGTATAATTTACCCCTGTAAAAGCTGATGAACTAATTTAAAAACACGGTAAGTAATTCATCCAATCTAATAGCTCTGTAATAAAACTTTTGATCTTTTTCAAACCTTCCGGGTGGTATTAAAGTTCCTTCCATTCGGTCAAAAATTGGTTTAAACATTGCTAAACCTGTATATTGTAATGAAACTCTAAAATAAACAGAAAAATATTTTAATACAATTCTATTAAAAACACACTATCCTATTGTTATTACCTTGGAGTTACAATACACATTACAGGCAGTGTTCCCCGATACAAAGCTTTACGTGTATATATATCTAATAAGTTAAAGAAACCTCAATATTAAAAATAATAATAATAATAATAATTACCAGGCATGCCTTCTTGGGATATAATTCTTTTAAATGAGTTTAATATTCCAATGCCATCATAATTAGAGGAAACACGTATTGACTTAAATATCAATTAAAAAATGATCAAGTATTTCAAAACGAGTTTTAATTAAATTCAATATAGTCCCAATCATAAATATTGTATATTTCATGAATGATGTCAAAGTTACCTGAAATCTATATGAATGTAAAATTTTCATCAATAGATTTGATTTGTTATTTGGTGATTTAAGAATTTTTTTTTGTTTTGCATTACCGTGTCTTCAAAACATCAGTAGGCTATATTTTAAGAAAGGGTTAAACGATTTACCTATTTCGTGATAATAAACTGAAAACAACAAACCTGCATGATGAGAACTTCTATGAAACTATTGTATGAATTGCATTTATATAATTAACTAAAGAATTTATCAGATTGGATATCTTTAAAATGCATAATTAAATTGGTTTTACCCAGCACCTGTGCCGGCTAAAGTTGACGCAAAGATATTTTTCTTTTGGCTCTTTTTTGAGGACATTTTACGAAATAAGCAGATGGATTGAAATTTTTATCTTTTTTGATCTTTAATAAATTGATAAGATCATCAGGACGAATTATCACACGTGGAACGATTAGAAGTAAGTTATCTTAAAATCCTCTAAAATCAAATCAAAAAAAGGCAAAGTTCACGAAGCATTTACATTATATTAAAATTTGCATACCTTTTAATAACGCGATTTAATAAAAAGGCAAATATGTTTATTTGTAGTGATATAAACATTTGTAAATTCGGAAGTTGTTTCTGAATCCGTTTAAATGGATCTTTGGTTCTAAAATGATTTAAGCAGGGATTGAATCTTTAAACCAAGTTTATTACTATAATTACATGATGCCACCAAAAGAAGACCTGTTTGTGTCAAACGTCTGATGCGTGGTTATTCTCTGGCGACACCTATGTATCATTTAAATACATTGTGTGTTTTATGTATATTCATTATTGTATCATTTCATATAATAAATTAAAACGTTTACATTTATTTTCAGTTAATAGATATAGATTACATTCTTTCGCTTTATATACGGTATTTTCAAGTTCCTCATATTCAACCAATCCCAATAGCATAAGCAGTAGCATAAGTTTGTTTACATCGTAGGTAATAGAGTTTTTTTTTTTCTTTACTGTAAACTGAAAAGTTTTAGTCATTTACTAAAGTCTGATAATTTAAAATTTTCCTTTATTAATTAACCAAAACTTGACTTGAAATAGAATAATATTCTTTTTGGACCGATATTTTGGTTGAAAAATAAAATACAATTACTTTGTTTTATTATTAAGATCCGAAATCAGCTTAAGCTAAGTTTTTTAATATATAAATACGTATATACACAGTTACATCTGTTCATGTTTATCACTGCTCTAATTAATTGTGCTTAAATTCAGGTCCGAAGTTTAATATTTTATTGTTATGAAGAATACATTTCTTTAAACTCTTTACAATAAATTATTGTAATTATATATTGTGTGAATCCGAAAATTAAAACATAGCACGAATAAATATAAATTTCCTAAACATTTAAGCATTTTGTTTACGTTCTCTTCCTTCAGCTTCCATTTGTTCATTTCCGAGAGCGCTGCCAGTAGTCTCTTTTACATTGCCTATGACCTTCTCTTTTTTTTCTATTATTAATAATTAAATAGTTATTTAGTCATTTAAACATGGAACATAATCATTTAATAAATAAACGTTTAATAGATACGTTGTCCTGCAACTTTAGCAGCCTCAGCTTCGGATTGACCTATTATAACAAATTCCAATAAAAAGAATTAATTATATAACTAACTATCCAATCCTTTTTGGATACATACCTTCGAGTTTCTTAGCTGTACCATCAGTTTGCATTTGTTCATTGCCTAACGCTTTGCCGACGGATTCTTGAACCACACCTTGATAATATTTGGCATCACCTCCGATCTTAGATGGCTCTTTGTCAGAAGACATGATTAAATTCTTGGTTATATTTTATTGTTTTAAGATTTTGTTTTTAAGATCGTTTTATTTATTATTTTTAAGTTGTAATGTTGTTTTAACAGAAATTTTAGATTGTGGACCTCTGGAAAAGTCAATATTTATATCTTTTTCGAAACTAATAAATTCGATTAATAATGATATCATCATTTTGTTAAAATTTTTTGAATAACTTATTTGCGTCATTATTACATTTTTATATAACGTCATATTACGTCCTAATGACGGTTTACTTGTTTTGGTGTATTAAGTTTAGTGTAAAAAAAATTGCCATAGTTGAGCACCAGTTTAGTCTACAGTTAGAAGCTCCAAAATATGTGTTATAATTGCCTTGAAAGCTACCAAATGCAAATTACGACAGAGTGAAACCCGTGTTAAAGGTGGTAGTGACCGCCCACCAAAAAGTTTCAAGCACGTGATAATTTGTCGGAATTCAAGATCAAGTGTATCATAACACGATCTGGAAATCCAAATCCTAGCATTAGAGAATACGATACATACAGAGGAATTTTCTGGATGTGTGAAACAAGTGATCACATATGTACGTAATATTAAACACTATGCGTATGACAAATAATTAGGATATATATGGTTGATTACATATATATTACGTGTCCGAAATTTTTTTCCTATATCGGTCGGCTTAGCTGGCTTATACTAAAATAGTATCTACATATTAAGCGCAAAATAACGCTCGTGGGCTAGAGTGATTGACATGGCAAAACAGTATATAATATGGTGTGGTCACTTGGCCATTTGGCCAATGGCCAAATTTTATTAAAAAAATTATTGGGCTAAAGTAGCTAAATATATATTTATATGGTAAAGTCAGTAATATGAACGTCTAATATTATGTAAACTAGTACGTAGCAAAAGTTGTTAACTACATAATTATATATATCATCGTATACTACTTTTGGTTTAACTATCAAATTATTTATAATGAACTTAACTAATAACGGCATGCTTTAAATTTAGACATTCTACTGAAATGACAGCTTCTCTATCGTACGTGGGCGTTATTTTAAGAACCATGTTTCTTCAAAATAACATACCATATTATCTCGAAATAACGCCCAGGGGCGTTATTTCGAGATACACAACCGAAAATTTTCAAAAGTAATAATTATTACTCACATTTGGTTAGATTGATTCTTAGCTCTCCTTAAATTGTGTATCTCGATAATGGGCATCGCGTATCCCAACACGTATAGTGATTGTACCCGGATTGCGATAACGGCTAGCCGGGAAAGATGTTAGGGGATCTCAACTAAAGTGCTAGCGGAATTATTAATTTTATCAAATTTCACCAATTCAGCATCAATTTCACCAATAATGGTAAAATTGTTTCATCACGCTAGTTTAATTTCATCTAAATATTTGAAGCAAGCTATTCAACTTGTGAATGTTTTTATTTATTGGCATTATGAAATAAGCTAGATTAATAAATCTTTTACCATATATTTAATCATTGTAAGTTTATACAGCCGTCTCATAGACAATTTTTATCGAATTCCATAATCACGATTTTTTATCAGCCTCATATGTCGAAAAATTTGCTGGAAAAATAAAGTACTTATTATGTCATACTAATCATATGACTTAACGGTCCCACGGGTCCGCTTTCTGCTTAAGCGTCAAATATTCAGGTTTATCAATTCGAATGAGCGATAAAACCTTGACCGGCTTTAATAATCAATGGCCTGCATTAAATTTTATGCGGTGTTACCTTAATGAATAATTACTTTCTCAACGTCGAACGTTAACCAATTTTACGAATAATTAACCTTTTTCTTATTATATACTCCCGTGATAAGAATGGGACTTAAAAAAGCTATAAGGGTAAAGAGTACAACATTCTTAATCAGTAGTTTTATCAAAATTCATATGTTTCAGGGACTTCGAATTTCCGCCATCTCCCGAGATCGTCAGATCTTAGACCCACCTAGTATCGCCACCAAGATCATGTACGTAATCGGATTTTAAATTTATTTTCTAACATTAAAATTAATAATTGATACAATAATGATGACATTGATTAATAATACGTAATAATAAGAATTACTATTTACATTGAAAATTTTTTTTCATTAAAATTTTTTTTTTTCATTGAAATTTTTTTTTCTTTAAATATCATAAAATGAAAAATTCAAACTTTTGTTCATCTTGTCAAACTATAAAACCCATTATTGTATTTCAAAATAATCAAATAACATGTTTTGAGTGTTCAATCCATATAAATGAAAGTTGTAAAAGAAAACATGAAGATCAAATTTTAAGTGATATTTATAAGCAAAAAGAAAATGTTATAAAATCCAAAGAGCTTAAACCTATAGTTTATAAAAAGTTTATAGATGTTGAAGAAGAAAGCAATACATATATGAATCTTAAGATAATTGTGAATATTTTTCAAATGATTAATTAATTAGAAGTAAATAACATTGAAGAAGTTTTTGTAAGTTTATTAACACTTGAGATTATAAAGATCTGTGAAAAAGGTAATGATTATTCATATGTTTACTATAAAAAATACAATAATAAACAAATCAAGACTACTTCATTTACATATTGGTGTAACTGTTGTCGTGAACTTGAAAAAAAGATGAAAAAAAATGATGATGAAAGTAAACAGTACAATAAAGAACCAAGAATTGTATATTATGATTGTAAAAGAATTATTATTATTAAAATTGATCTACAAAATGCTTTGACATTTATAAAGCTCAATCATAATTTACATCCACAGTCACAATATTTCAATATTAATGGTAAGATTAAAAAATTTATTTAAACCAATATAATTTGTTCAGTATCTAAATTATATCAGCAAATTGTAACTGAAAAGATAGAAGGTTACAAACTGTTAACAAAAAATCAAGTATATTACTGATAGATGCGATATGCAATAATAAAGTATAAACAAACAGATGATCAAATTCAATCGGCTAAGCTATTGTTGGAAGAAAAAAAATATAAAATTATTTTAGATCTTAATGATCCAACATTAACATTTGCCTTTATCATACCCTTTACCAATATTTTACCAAATATAGCATTTAGAATAATGGCTGTAAATGCAACTTTCAACACAAATCAATTAAAATATGAACTTTATTCAATTATAGGCATTATTAATGATACAGGATTCCCTATTAGTTATTTATATATTGCAAATAGCAAAAATCAGGATATTTGTATGATTATAACAAGTTGGTTTAAAAAAATTCATAAATTAAATATTAATATTGAAATCTTACTTACAAATAAAGATTTCATACAGATTTCTAGTGCACAAAATATTTGGAAAGGTATAAACATTCAATTGTGTAAGTGACTTGTTTTGCGGGCCATTGAGCAAAAACTTGTATCTACAACAAAAATATTAACTATTCATTATGATTCAAATGCTGCATATAATGAGTGCCTAGTTATCGATGCAACATGGTAAGAAAATACTTTGCAGCAACATACAACTCAATGTAATAAGGTTTTTTTAGAGGTATTATTAAGAAAAGAAGTACTTGAATATATAGAACTTCATTTTCATCATCATATACTAATACCAACTGCAGAGAAAGAGTTTGTTAATTCATCTAAAGAAATTTGGCTTCATGCAGTTTGTGAGATTTTTAGTTACTGTTATAAAAAAAATCTGTTACATGTATGGGCATATCTTTGACATGAATAGTATCGATAGGAGCGATGGAACCTTTGAACATTATCTTTATCTTTAGAAGTTTCTGTAATTCATATAATAATATCAATAGAATCTTACTGGCATATACTAAAACAAGATTATTTATATAAGTTTAATCAGCCACATATAGATCTTGTTTGCCATATTCTTACTGAAAAATTATTGCCAGTTCAGTTGCATCAATTTCAATTACATTTACATGACTAGATATTATCATCGTGATATAAGGAATTCAAAACTGAGTGGAATAAATTAACTACACATAGTATTAAAAATACGCAAAAATATTTAACTAATCATTAAAATTGGATATGCTCTTGTCCTTATTTTTTATGAAACAGATTCTTATTATGCAAACACCTTGTTAATTCTCTTGAGAAAATAGATGCATCATTTTTTCGAAAGGTCTATTATTATATTATTTTTTTTTAAAAAAAAATTTTCAAATTTAATCTTATTTTAATTTAGGTGTAATGCAATCCTCAGTATCTTTTTATTTCAGAAGCTAAAGAAACATTATGGGAAAATATTTAACCAACTCTAATTAATCATGCACAAGATAATTTAATGATTAATCTTGTGAATTCAGAAAATGAAAACATATATAATGAGGAATCAAGTACTAAAGATAGTGAATCTGAATCTGAATCTGAAATTTTAAGGAAGTACAAAAAAACTCTTCATGAGGTATTAAGATTTTTTTTATTATCATTATATTTACATGTTTATAAATATATTTTATATTTTAGGCACTCAATTGTCTTGAAAAATCTAATAATTTTCCTAAACAAAAAAAATGGCTTCAAAGCATTGAATCGAATTTTAAACCTATCCAAAAAATGGTGGATAATATTAAAAAGTTTGAACGAGCAAAAAAGCTTCCAAAAACTTGGAGCAGTCATAACAAAAACACATTTTACTAGTAGCATTTAAAGTTTATACATATATTAAAAAAAAATTGAATTAAATATAAATGTATTTAAATATTTAAATTGAATGTATTCGACTTAGAATTGCAGTGGTAATTAAGTAAATTCTAATAAATAAATTTAATAATAATAATAATAAACTTCAAAAATATCATGATTCTGTTATTATTATGCTTAGATTGAAATTTGATAATCGATTACGTACATAATTTTGGTAGTGATACTAGGTGTGTTCAGATTTTAAGTGATTGTCAAATCTAAGGGGTTAATTTTATCAGAAAAATAACAAAATAGATCAGTGATTGGAACTTATGACCGAGCAGATTTGCTTTATAGAGAAAAAAACTGGCATTGGATTTGGGTAGTGTAATTACTAATTGTGTATTTTCCTTCTGACAGGTTCTCAAACCTAATGAACGTAAAGTATAAAAGTAAGTAATTTTTGTCTTGTAAACAATAGCAATATTTTTTGCTTATGTATTTTTTTTTATTTTTAATTCACTTTCAAGATCTAGTTATTGTATATTGCTCGCTACTGGTGATTTTTTATTTCGTTACTTTTATTAACTATGGGTTTTTATTTTTTGCAGAGTCCCCAAAATGGCAATTATTAATCTTAACTGTGTTGTCAGTAAAAGAAACTTCAAAAATGAAACTTTTACGATTGAGATTTCTAATGACAAAAAATATGAATTGCTCAAACATATGGTAAAAAAATGCTTGGCACCTTTGTTTGATTCTATTCCTTCTACTCAAATCATTCTACATCCATCTCCAATGGTAATATTTTTAAACCAATAATTAGAATTTCTCAAGACTTTACTACTGGCCTCGATGAAAATGGCATTTATGTTTACGTAGATCTCCAAAAATTAAATTTTTTTTATTTGCAATATATATATATTTTTATTTTTAAAATAAAGGTTCTGGGCATGAAGTGCCATTATATAGCCAATGCACTGGTTTATAACAGGATCAGATGCATTAATAATACTCTCAGAAGAATTGTCTAACCTGTCTACAGCATCATTTTGTAATTGCTTCTGCTCCAATTTTGCAAATCGTTTCTTACTTTCTTTTGTTGACCGCTCTAGTTTCATGATCACTTTTTTAGCATTTTGTTCTAATTCCATTATTCTAGCCATAAACATCGCTTCTTTAGCCTTAAGCTCCGCATTTTCAGTTTCAAGCTCAATAATTCTTTGTTTTAATAAATCTAATTCGGATTGCATTTTTAGTAATAACTTTTTATAAAAACGATTTGCTTAATTTTTGGGTTAACGTAGCATAAATAAAACACGTAATATTCTGACCAATGGTCAGGAACTTGCTGATTGATCATAAAATCCTGAAATATATATGCAAAAGTAAACCAATTATATATGTAAAGAAATTAGCTACCAAGACAGCTTTATTGATAAAGATAGAATACATGTTACAGTGATTGCTGGTTCTTACTATTTTTTTGATATATTATTAATATATATATACTAGAGAAATATAGAAAATTAGCAGAACTCTCTAAGGATGCAATCAAATAAAACTATTTCTTTTTCCTTCTCTTTGGCTTGTCAATAGTTGATGTAGTCTCATCAGAAGATTGTCCACCGCTAGATTCATCAAGACACGCTAAAATATTATGTAGTGTATAGACAACAGCAGTCTGTAAAAGAATAGTATTAATTATGTGTATTTATACTGATAACAGGAAAGCAAAACCAAACATACTCTTAATGTTAATAATGCATGGATGAGTGTATAAACTTTATCTGAGGATGTAATATTCAATGGAATTTTCACTGTTGCGAGTAGACAATAAACAAGAACTCTGTGTTCTTTTCTCATCACAAATTTTTATTGTGTCACCTGAAAAACAATTTTTAGTACTATTTCTAAAAAAGATGAATAACAATAAAAATACATACTCACAACATTAATCGTGAATATAGACAAATATTTACTTAATGTTGATTTCTTTAATGGTTCTTTAAGTTCTGATCTCGTTTTTTCGATTGAATCCTTAAAGAGTCCTGCTAATTTTCTGATTCTCTAGTTGCTTAGCTTAAAAAGCTTTTGGCAACCCGTTTTACTATATATTAACTCAAATCACTAATAAATGACAAATAACAATAAATTTGAAATACTGCCTTTTTATATATTTTTCTTTCACTTCTTCCCTGAAACTCAAAATGTTAGAAAGGTTAGATAGAAGCAATCGTACATCAAAAAATTTCTATAATAGAAGTTGACCATGCAAAGAAATTTCTATAAATTATGCAATTGTATGCATCACGAGAATGAAAAAGCTTCTGACAACCATGCTAAGTTCATGAACCAAGCATTACCAAAAAATCAGTTACAGTTTAAACTCAATCAAATTTATAGTTCTAATGGTTCGATATGTATGGTTGATTTTAGATTTTGATTAATGACAATAACAACAAATTTTTTAAATTACAGTAAGCGATAAAACTATACAATTTTTTTTTTTAACTTTTTATTGCAAATCGAGCAGAAATCAGAAAACTTTTTTGAAAAAAAATTTGTCTGAATATTTAATGTATATAAAGAAGGTAACAAGTGAATATATGAAAAAAGTTTTAGTTTATTTAGTTTTAAAAAAAAGTGTTATTAATGTCTGTGCATTTCTTAAAAGTCAGTTTGCTCTTCACAAACATTTAGTTTCACCACCACTAGTAACAAAACTTTTAATAAGGTTCAACACAATAATAAACATCCATTTCTTCATGAATCTCAACAAACTAAAATCTTGTAATTATAAGGAAGCCAAAATAGGGTTAAGTATGAACGAATATGATTCAAGTACTAATGATGTTGAGGTTACAAATGATAAAGCTATTGAATTAAAAGAAATACTAGTGAAGATTTATTTATTTATTATTATACAAGCTATTTATACAATCGACTTTGGATATAATGAATGAGCTCTGGATATAACTAACTCAGAATTTTAAAATCTCATAATAGTTCAATATGGAAGTGCCATGGGTCCTTAAAAAAACATAGTAATTTTCTATAACGAACTTTCTTTTCTTCTGAACTGTTAGTTCGTTATAGAAAGAGTTGACTATATTTTTTATATATTAATAAAAATAATTTATAAGCGATAAAGTTTATTGAAAATTTGGAAAATTTTCTCAGTGAAGAAAATAGTTAAACACAATTGACCTATTAAAGAAAAAACTTTAATGAATGTCTTTCTAGATTATTTGAAAAAAAAGTAATTTTTGCAAAAAATTTTGCTATTGTTATATTAATGTATTTGATTTAAGAATTCAAATAGTCAATAATTCAATAATTTCGCCACTTGTAAAAATTAATTTTGCTAACTATAGAAAACTGATTTTGGAAGACTAATTGTCAAAATAATAATTTATTAAGAAAATTAACTTAGACACTTATATATAGATAATAATTCGAATATTTTTTATAAACGATTCGCTTTTTTTCAAAAATTTATATTTTTATTATATTGTAAATTAATAGATGCAGCATTAAGAATAAAAAAAGAATATACATTATACAATATATATATGTATAGCTTTATCGCAATATGTTTATTGATAAGTCCTATTTGAGTTATTAAGTACTGATGTTTAATTTCAAATTCCGGTATGTAACTGATTTTTTGGGCGACGCTAGGTGGTTATGCCGAGTTTAACTCCGATGGTTGATGCAAGAGAGATATGAAAATCTGATAATAAATTAGAGAATGTGGATTTTACATGTTTAGCAGGCATTTATTATATAAAAGAACATAGGTTTATGTATTCTTTATTTTAGAGACGATTTCAGAAAGTATCCTTTCTTTTTAGCTAAGGGTCAAAGCAACCCTTTAGGAGAAACTCATATAGGTTAAGCTACTAAAAAGACATAAGAATGTCTAATATTATAAAGGTAAGGTTAACATGGCTATGATGATACATTTATGAAAGGTATGTGACAACTAAATGAATTAGACAAATATGGAAGTGAAAGCATGAGCTTATTGACTGAGGTATAGTGGAGATTCTACGGACAGTTCTTATGGACAGTTAGGGACAGTGCGATTCACATGATATTACTAAAACTACTAACCTTAACTGTTTCTAACTAATTATTCACATAACTTGAACTGTCTCTAAGAACTGTTTGTAGATTGTCCAGAGGTACAGTACATACAGTATTACAAATAATCTATTGTAATTTAGTAATTGGTGATTCAGTTGCTACTCTAATCCAATTCTTGTGTAACCTATGGTGGCTAAGTCGAAATAGGCATGTTAGATTTGGCTAGTAGTTTATCTATAGATAAGTACTACTCTCCTCTACTAAGTCTTTTCTTCAATCTATACTTCTATTAACCCTTGCTTTTTCTTGTCTTCTCTTTACTTATTTAACCTTGGGTTACGAAATGTCGAATCAGGTTGGAGTTCTTCTCTTGCGTTAATGGCTTGATCATGTGACTTGCAATGAACGAACAAAGGTGGTTGCAGTAGTTTATGAACGAATGATTATGTTAGGAATAAGATTAATGATAGTATATTAGTTTATATAGGGTAACACTTATACTTTTATTAGGGATCAGATATTTAGTGTTATTAAAGGATTTATTGATATATGAAACGGTTCTCTCCTTTTCCCCAAGGCAAAAAGACCCTTTATTTATAATAAAACTTTTATTTACATTGGTCATTAATTTCTAATATAAATCTAATATCTGTTACATCCTAATTATATTTAAGAAAAGGCTGATATCTCATTTATCTTATAAGTAAAAGAAATAGCATAAGTAACAGAAATAATAGAAGTAAGAAAAGTAACAGAAGTAACATTTCTATTACTTTTCACATGACCTTGGATCGGGTAAAGATCAAGTAAGGATCGTCACTTCAATTCAGGCATCTGTGATCCCAAAAATCAGGCTCACACTATGCATGATAAGCCTTGCAAGGTAATACAGATAAATTTTATATGCAAAATTTATTTTAACATATTAGATTGGAAAATTATATGTAACAATAAATTTTTATTAGCATTATTACAAAATTGGTAATTCTGATTTATTCAAGAATTTTCACATTCACATTGCCTATATATTTGTCACAACCTTTTTTTTCTTACAAGTTCAAAAAAAGATAAATATATACTAATACAGTCAGGTATTTTACATGATTTAGAAATGATCTGCAATATACTAAGAGATTATTATAAAACTGATTTCTATTTAAAAGACATTTTTTATTATCTAAAAATAACAATTAGTTTTAAAAAATTTTTATTTTATTTTTTTTTTTTGCTTTCATTAAGGTTGTTAGTTATCAGTGGTTACTGCCTTTATTGTGAATTCAATTATGATTACATAACTTGTACAAGGTTATCTTTATATTATACTAGCACATAGTGCACAAGCTTCTGTATACCAAATTAAGTGCCATCTAACCTAATTCTAACTTTTCTGTCTATATGTCTGTCAAGCTATTACATATTTCAGATTATGTCATCTGACTGTAGAATTTCAGAAAGTCTCTTTGTTAACTAATTACTCATATTTAATTTTTATTAATAAGCCTTGTTTTTGTAAAGTTCATCTAAATCTTAGTATTAACTTTATAACATATTCTTAGTACTTAGTTATATTCTGTTTTAGATCTCAAACTTCTAATCCAGATAGTCTGAAAGGACTGTGTTCTGTTCTTAATACTCTAAAGGTCTGCTTTTCTAAGATTTTTTCTTCTAATTTGAAACTTCTGATGACTTGATTAGTAATATTCTTTATTTAAGGTTCTTGTCTATCTGATGTCTTTCATATTAGTATTTATTTCTTAGGTCTAGTTTTTACAATAATACTATCAAAGATCTGTATTATCTTTTTATTTAGATCTTTCCAAGTGGGTTTCAGTTTCCTAGTTCACAGATTTATATAATTATAAGAACTTATCTTGTGTTTATAATATCTAATACCATTTGTATTTCTTTATATAACTCTAATATTGTGTAGATGCCCTATAACCTGCTAGTCATATTGGTATAACTGTGTTACAAATATCTGATCCTAACTGATCAACAGAGTACTATTGTCATAATACTACTTAGCTCTCATAATACTGATATAATATAGGTAATTTTTCAAATTTTTATTATTAATAAGTTTTGAACTTTCAACCTATTACTTAAAAGATTGATAACTTATTCATTTTACTAAATCATTATATTTCTTTAAAAAAGTTTTTAAAATATTCTTGTAAAAGTTATTTTATTAATATGTAGTCTAGAGTAGAGGCTTGCATTAGAACTTGCAACTAGATTTAAAGTAAAATTTTATAATTGTGAATTAGACTAGTTCAGGCTTAAAATTTTGCAAAATTATATAAGAAATTTTATAGGCCATACTGGACTGAATCAAGCTAACAAATAAATTTTAATCTTAAATATAGACTGAACTAGGTCTCAAAAATAGGCAATTTGTAGGCCCCTAGTTTAAAGATCTATAAGGATCTCTAAAGATTTAAAAATAATAGATGTAATAGATTATTTTATATATAATCTATATAGTAAATTATATTTTTAGTAAAAAATAAACAAATACTTATTTCTTAAACCATATTCTAGGCAAATTTGTCTAGAAAATTAAATTGTATTTAGTATTTTTTAAATAAAATAATAATTTATTAATAATATAAAGTATATTTTATTTATAAAATATATTCTTAAAAACATATTTTATAAACTTTATTATAAAACTTTTTTCAAAATATTAATAAATTTTTATATATTAAATTTTAAAGATTATATTTAAAAATTTTTATTATTAAAAATTTTTTTTTTTTTTTAAAAAAAAGAGA